ATGGCCACCTATAAGTTTATTGGGGTGACCACCAGGATCTGGGGGAATGTTTGTTCTCCAGAGCGCCCCAAGGGATGGTGAGGTTGAACAGTCACAAACTACTGTGAGACTGTTTCAGGCTGGACATAAGGAAGAATTTCTTTACTGTCCAAGCCCCCAAGGTCTGGAACAGCCTGCCATCGGAGGTGGTTCAAGCACCTACATTGAACACCTTCAAGAGCAAATTGGTTGCTTATCTTGCTGGGATCTTATGACCCCATCTGACTTCCTGCCCTTTGGGTGGGGGGCTGGACTTGATGATCTTCCGAGGTCCCTTCCAGCCCTAATGTCTGTATGAAATCTATGAAACTTCAATGGTGCTAGCAGTTTTTTGGCTCAAACTCAATTCAGTCCCTTAACCAAACTTTATGTTTATGGAGGTTCAAAAGTGTATCCATAGGTTGCATTCAGCTTTTGGGTTTGATGAGACTTTAAAATTCAGTATTTACTAACCTTAATTTTTCCAGTAAAAGTAAAATACTCTCTTCTGACTCTGAACTTTAAAGGGTTCCCAGAGCAATGGGAAATGCAGTGTCTTAAAAATGTGTATTTTGAAGGTTTAGGGCACCACATTTCACCTTTGCTTGGATATATCTTGTGAACAAGTTACTACATGGGCAGACTTCATATTGGCAGTGCACCAGCAAAACTCCATTTCCACTAAAATACCTCAGACATAATTATGATGGGATGTATTACTAGATAAATCCTTTCTACTTGGTGTCACAAAATGCTCCACAGATATGAGGTCAGAGTTAAGGATGGTTCTAGGAGAAAAGAAAAGCAGGATTGACTGTATGCCTCAAGGTAGGAGGCAGAGGGCTCTAAGCAGACTACTCAGTAGTAGTTAGGTCCAATGGTGGTGAGTCAACGGCAGAGAGGAGTTGGTCTGTATGTTACAGAGCTTTTTGGAAGTGGATTCTTTTTAATTATTGTTCCTTTTTGTTTTCTTTTGACAGACATTGGGAACTATCACTGCAGTGCCCATTAAAGTTCCTCAGGTCAGCTCCTTGCAGAGGTTGGCAGGACAAGGACCAGCAGTGCTACCTCAGGTAAAACTAATTTTTCAGTGTTTGGGTGAAAATTTTTTAACTGAATATTATGTTTAGTTTTCTCTGTGCCAGTGCAGGCCTGTGAAAGCCAGCCTAATCACATGTCTGCATAAAACTTAAGAACTGGATGATAGGATGATACAAATTGCAGAGAAGCTTGGCTTGCAGTGAGATTTAAACAGCATATTTATGATTTTTGTATGCATAGTCTGCCGCAAAGAAAAAACACCATGGAAAAGGCTTATGAACCTAAAAATAAAATGCATATAATAAAGAATAAATATATATTTTATCAAATTAATTCCAAACCAAAAAAAGTACATGTATTTTCTGAAATGAAAAACTTGCAACTCTGTAACTAAGGCGAAGGATATAGTCACCAAAGTTCCCAGTCTGCTGGTTAGGTTGCTGGCATTTGAGACCCTGGATACTTTTGCCAGTTTACTTGCTTCCTTAGCACCTGGTATGTTATAGTTACAGTGTTTGACTGCTTGTACATACCACAGGGTTTAATTCAGCTTAGTTCTCCCTAAATTAAAACAGTGGAAGGAAGCACCAGGCCCCAGCACAACTCAGGCAGGCAGGCTCTGGGGAGAAGAAAAAGAGATCAGGCTTGCCTAATGTGCTTATAAACTGTTAGATATTACTACTTTCTGACTGAGTTTTAGAGAGTATATATACCATGTAGGTTGTTTACATATCAGAAAATATTTCAACCTTTAAATTATTGATTTCTGAGCAAAATGCAAAAACCTCTTACCATCCAGCAATGCAGAGGGAATCTCAGGAAGTTGTTCACAGTAGTCTATGAATGTGGCATTAAGTGGGAATTCACTTTTCTTTGTGTAGCCGTTTATAAGTCATTTCTCACATTTGAACAATTAACATTAAAATCATTATGGGTTCTTTTAGCTCATCAATATTTTTCTACTATTTCTTCACTTATAGAAGCTAGTAGTGGGTCTTTGAATTTAAATTTTTAGAGTTGTATATTCAGGAGAAAGCACTTGGATTCATTCTTTGAATTGTTCATTTTATGCCAGGCAATATTGGAATAAAAGAGGGTTTCCTCTCATGCCTGAAACTTTTTTTGCTTTTCAATCATACATTTGTTTTTGTCATATTTTGAGAGTTAAAGATTAACAAGATTCTTCCAGAAAAGAGTTGAGGATAAAGAGCAGCTGGAAGTCCTGGAAAACAGATTTAAATTATTCTTATTACAGTTATTTTTCATTGGGCATGATGGCATAGTACTCCTGCATATGGGATCATCAGCATTCTGTTTTCTTTTTGTAAGTAGGCTGATTTTTGTTCAATGCCAGGTCAGGCTTTGAAGAATTGGGGGGAAAAATATTCTGCATTTTTTTCAGATGAAATTCAATCTTTTCTATCTTGCTGATTTTAACTCTTGACATTTTATATTTTACTTTAGAAGAGTTGTGAGTGTTCAGTGCTTCAGCCCATGCTGTCACTTGTTTTCTGCTGGTTTCTTTTTGGCATGTTTCATATTCTGATATTTGAGAATTAGTGAAGACGAATAACATTTGCAGTAGTATTGATCAGCAGATTTCACATATACTGTCACTGGAATGAAAAACGATCAGAATGGGAGATCTTTGGCCATGAAGACTGAACAGCAAGACAAACTAGCTGGCTTTATATAGGACTGTATTATCTGAAGCCCTGCTCATCTTACAGGTTTTTATATTCTAACGTCCTTAATGATAATTGATTACAGCAGGGCTGTCTAACTGATGGCCCCATCTGGTCCATGTGGGGTTAACACCCAGATGACAGACTCCTAGTTGACCGTCGCTTTTCCCATCACTCTGGTTGCTGCTTCTGGTGTCTCCAGACTCCTCCTCCCTCCTCCAGCTTCTATGGGAACCCTCATGGGAGGGGCAGGAGGAAAGCCAAGCCTTGTGGGAGGGGAGTGGCATGGTGGAGGAAGTGCATGTGAAGGTGTGGGGGTTGTGGTGCTGTAAGGGACCTTGCGCAGCATGTGGCCCAAGGGACTAGTGGTCTACATAGGTGCAGCCTGTTCAGTGTACAGCCTCAGTCACTCAGAAGATGGAAAGCCAAGATTACATCAATAAGCCATGCTCTTCTCTCAAGTCACTCATCTATGATTCTACATGTGCCTTTTCTTTGTTAAGCTTGTAGACCCATGAATTTTTCAAAACTTTCCTCTTTAAGGTTTTGCATTTTCATTTACAAATAAAAATAGGAGGCTCCAAATTTAATCATAATTTCAAATGTATGTTATGTAGATGTAGATATTGTGAACTGAAGTTTTTAAAAAAATGGAGGTAAAACCCTATTAATACATAGAAGGAAAAACATGTTTTTTCTTCTCATAGGAAGAGAAGAATGCAAATGTATGTTTCTTCCCCCTTTCTGAAGTTAAAAGAACTTCCTATTTTCCTGGTGGAGGGGAGCCCAGCAGCTTGTAGGATTGGGATCCAAAGCATTACCTGGATGCTCAACCATCCTTCTTATTGTTATGGTTATGGGCAAGCTGCATTTTAGATCCCATAGTGCACCCCTTACGTGACAGTCCTGAATCTCTGCATCTTACTTTATGTGAAACCAAATTGTCCAAACACTCTCAGACTTGACCTCTGAGTAGCAGACTTGCCCCCCCCTTTTTTTTTTACCAGCTTTATAAGGGGGGTGAAAAATTCACTTACTTGGGCTCCACTGTCTCTCAAAATTTTGGCTTCAAAGGCGAAATACACACTCGCATTGGAAAGGCAAGCAATGCCATGGCTAAACTTCAAAAGAGAGTTTGGAAAAACAGAACGCTCACTCTATCGACAAAGATGTCCATCTGTGGTGCTTGCATACTTAGCTCTCTACTGTATGGCAGCAAAACATGGACTCCTTATGCCAAGGCAGAAGGAAAACTGAACAGTTTCCATCTTCATTGTCTTCTCAATAATCTTGGCATAACACGGTGTGACAATCTCCAACTTTGCTCTTTTGGAATGGGCCAAGATACCTGGTATGTTTGTGCTCCTGAGACAGAGATGCCTCTGTTGGTTAGGACATCTGAATCATATGAGCGATGGCTGAACCCCCAAGGACATACTGTACAGTGAGCTAGCCACTGGATGGCCCAAACTCTGTTTTGTTGATGTCTGGAAGAAAAACTATAGCAAGCTGTGCATCGATAGCCAATGCTGAGAATCAATCACTTTGGACCCCTGTGAGTAGAAAGCCTCTGTGAAGCAGGGCCTACATCACTTCAAAATGGAGATGGTAAATGCTGAGATGGAGAAGAGGCACCAGAGACAGGCAAGACAAGATGGTACTTGGCATGCTGGCACAAGCTCAACCAAATCTGTATGGGTTACATATTGGAGGGTCTGCTTGTCATGCATCAGACTCCTCAGCTGCTCAAGAATCTGTGGTGGTACCCAGTAACCCACCAAAGGCCCAATCTCCTTGGTCTCCTGAGACCGATGACTGCCAATGATGATTAATACGATTGTCCCAATAGAGCTTGGCAATTGATGAACCTCTAAGGCTAAGTACAGACAGTCAAAAAGCCTGAGGCTGAATCGATTCAATCTTGAAAGGTTAGTCTAAGCTACATAGATTGAATTTATAAACCATTGAACAGACCTTCACTTTTGATTCCAGAAATACAGACACATGTCTCTGGCCTGGGCCACTGCAGGCCAGGGGGGCAATAGAGTACGCCTCCCTACTCAGCTGGAGCGGACAGCTTGGGCCAAGACTATCCCTCCCATCCTGTGAGGTGTGGGAAGGGTGGGGGGTTGTGCAAAGCATCCTGGGATGCTGGTGGACTGTTAGTTAACCTGAATCTGGAGAAGTAGCTGATTAGATTCACTCAGAAAAGCTTTTTCTTTTTTCAAAATGTATTCCTTCATCTATTGGCCTGCTCAGCAAAGAATAAAAACAATAAAAGGCCTACATCAATGGGTCTCAATCTTCCTTTGAAAACTTGTGGACTAGCTGGATGAAACAGACTGTTTTGCCATAGTTCCTGTCTCTTGTGTGTGGATGCAGCTACATTGCAGTCAGGCAGTATGATAGTGGACTGGCATATAAGAATACAAAAGTGCCACTGGTTCAGGGATGTCGGAGGATACTGTTCTATTTAATAGTAGAGGTGTGTGAAGGTGGGCCCTATTTGATTCAGATTTGGATTTGGGCTGAATCGGGGACAGTGATTCGATTCATTGATTCAGATCAGTGTCCCTGATTCAATTTGGCTGAATCCAAATCTGAAGATTTAATGCTGATTCAGAGAATCAGCAACTCAGACGTAGATCCAGCTTTAAAAGTTTTTGCTACATAGCTTGAGGTAGCAGACATGGCTCATGAACACTGCAATGCTGGGGCTCATGGAGCATCCCACAGGAGTGGGGGGGGGGCCCTCCACGTGTTCAGCGGTGAACCCAGAAGTGGACCAGAAGTACTTCTAGTCCACTTCTGGGTCTGTCAGGGAGCATTCTGGGGGCTCCTTGCCGCACTGCCCTGGCTCAGTGATTGGCCACAGGGGGACCCC